TTTTATTCAATTTTAATAACACTTGCATGCCAACCAATTTGATTCCCAGAATTTTAGATTAATTGCTACAAAGCTTTACAAATTTTAAAGCACATTTTTCAAAGCCCCAAAAACTCTTCTAAAATCACTTTAATTTCTGCATATATTAATCTTCTGTGGCATGATTTAGATTTCCCCATAAATGTATAAAAAAAAAAAAAAAAAAAAAAAAACGAAAAAACCAAACAAAGTTATTAATGATTGTGCTCCACGAAACTCGGTCTCTGCTAATCTGCGTCAATTAGGCCTGCGTCAATTTTGGCCATCTCCTACACGAACGCGTAAGGAACTAAGTCGTCGTCAAACAAAAAGAGCAACTGGAAAGTATATATGTATGTGTGCGTATATATTGGACAGGTTTTTGGTACGTCACACCATCTATCAACTAGTTAACTGAATTGCATAAGATTTTGATGAAATTAGTAAGTCAAATATTTATTTAATCAATACGAAGAGCCGAATGTAAAACACGTGGTTCTAAGAGAGCCATGGATTCCCAATTTGCAGAAAGAATATAGAACTGAAACAGTGAAATAATGGAATTGGAGCAAATTTTCTCGTGCAGTGAATCAAGGATACAGAATAGAAATTGAAGAAAATGAAATGAAATGCAAATTTGCTATGTGAATGCAATGGAACAATGGAATTGAAATTAAAATTGAAATTGAAAAAGTATTTATTGCTACGACAAAATGTAATGAAGGAAGAGAATGGAATGAAATGTAAATTTGATATGTGTAACACTGGAACACAGGAATTGAAATTGAAAGAGTATTTATGTATGTGTGGAACAGTGAAATTGGAATATATGAATGAGTATGCATTCCAAAAATAATTAAATCAAATAAAAATGTGAAAAAGTGCATAACAAATTTACGGTAATTAACAAGAAACAGTGGAATTTGGGATTGGAATTGAAAGTGTATATAAAGATATATGTGTTTGGCTAAGAGCCTCAACCAAATACAAATAAAATAATATTCTTTAAGAAGTTCTCATTAAGCTCAATTGTTTTATGCGTGTGAAACAGTGGAACTGAAACTGGAAATTTGATTTATTGTGCCGCTCATGCGATATATATAATGACTTATCATCTTGTTAACTCTCAAATGATGCAATGTGTGTGTTTAATGTGTTTTCTGTTAACACCTCTGCGGATGCTGCAGTTGTATTATGATTTTTTCTTCGCACTTCGTTTATTGCATCTGCTGCATAAATCAACATCCGCTGCTGCTGCTGCTGCTGATGTTATTGTTTTTTTTTTTTTTTTTTTTTTTTTTTTTTTTTTTTTTGTCTTGTATTGCATTTTGTATGTGGTTTGCTTTTTTAATCATCTTCGATCTAGTAGCCGGTTTATGTTTTTATTTTTCAATTTTTCCTTACATGCATTTCCTGCGCTTTGACCTTGGCTCTCTTCCACGAATTGTTGGCCAGGTTACTCACTCGCATTCCGTTCCGCAGTAACCCTGATTAAAGCTAATCATGGCACTTAAAACAAGTAACAATTCTTGTTAAACTCTGTCTCTCTCTCTCTCTCGTTTTCTCGCGCTCTCCCTCTCTCTCTCTCTCTCTTACTGTGGTTTGCATGCAAATTAGTCATACGCCCCGTAGGCTGTTTGATATTTCATTTCGATTTCTTTGATTGACTGAATGATGTTGTTGTTGTTGTTGTTGCTATTGCTGTTTATGGAAGCTAATGACCTTCAGTGACTAAGCAGCCGATCTGGCATAGATGGCAGCTCGATCAGCTCATCTTTAGCAAAACTACAATGAGGCGGCTTCATATAATAATTTACATAATTTGATGCATGTGTGACATAAATGTTGAAAATGTTCAACAAAAAGACGAATTTAAAGTCGATCAAAAGCCTCAAGCACGGAAGACCCCTTCAACCACATCCACGGCATCATCTGCCTTTGCCTCTATCTCTGCCTCTTCAACCTCTTCTTCTTCTTCTTGGACATCAGTTCTGCTCGAAGCTGAAATTGAAGCTTCCGCGATAAGAAAAAACACAGCAACATAAAACTGAATCTCAACAATGAAGATGCTAATTGCCAAGAAACTAAACCAAACACAGACAAAGCATAAATACAGATATACAGTATATACAGATATATAGTATAGTATAGTAGATATGTATGTATAGGTATAATCAATCTATTTAAACAACACCAAATTTGTAGTTATAAATAAAACTAGCAAAGATCCAAGCCAACTCGATTGACCTTAGTTTGAATTATTGTATTGCATTGAATGGATTTTGATATCGAATCGCATCGCATCGCATCGCAACGCACTAGGTTGAAACGAATGGAATTGAATGAATTGAAAATTGAATGGAATTGGATTAAATTTTTGACGCTTCGATTCACAATTCACAATCTTGTGGTTTGTGGTTGCTTCTCTGCTTCTTCTTCTTCTTCCTCTTCTTCTCTTTCTTGATTAGTTGACTTGAACTCTCTATAGCTCTATAGGCTCTACAAATAATAMAAATAGAAATAATAATAATAATCATTTGTTGAACTGCAGCAGCTATCATAGCTTTTAACTGCTTGGTTATTGTGGTTCCAAAATTTACTATCCATCTATATTGTATATTTCTCAAGGTGCAGCTAGTTTTACCAAAAATAAAATTTGCTCGTTTCTTTTTAATGGCTCATAGATCAGTTTTGTATTTGATTACGTTTTCTTTTTTTTTGAGTACAATTAAAATTACGGAATAATTTATTAGTTTTTAGACAATTCTTTTTTAATATTATTAAATTTAGTTCAGTTTATTTACATATTGAATAATTTATATAGTTGATAATATACATATTTTGTTTTTCATTTATTCATATGAGATTTATTTGTATTTTTGTTTATTTTATTTAATATGTATATGTTTTCCAACAAACATAAATTTATTTATAATTTGTTTCTCGTTTAAAATATATATAAATTACAAATATTTATTTAGGAGAGCTAAAAAATGGTTTGATATACAGCTGAATAATTTCAAAAACATAAATACATATTGTCTAATAATTTGGACCTTGGCCTTTAAAAACTGACTTTTCTGACTTAATAAAACTATAGGAATATAGGCTTTATTTGTTAATTATAATTAACGTGTTAATAATCAAATTAATTTTCACTTTTAAGTCTTTAGAGTTTTTAAAGAACTTCCCTTAATTCGCAACTGGTTTAAGCGTTAATTTGAAATTTGATTTGCGGATAGAAATGGAAGATTACACTGAAAGAAAGTATCAATACGATGTGAATACTATTAAACGGTATAGATATAGATATTGTGGCAAATGGTCTATATTTGTTCGATAACTATAAAGTTACACACACAAAATAATACAAATATCATATATAAGTATATGTATTTAGCCTAATGCTCAAATGAGCTTCGAAAAAAAAAATTAGTTTAACAAATATAAATTAAATTAAAAAACCAAGATAAATCTGTACTTTGTTCCTCTTTGAGAACAAATTAAAAATATCGTATTATATTATTATAACTTTCATATTTAAATATGTATTTCTTATGCAATTTTCATAGTTTCAAAAATAGAAATATACTGAAAAATGTGTATAAAATACCAAAATATTATAAAGATATTGGCCTACTGCTGGAATGACCCACGTTTAAAAGGTAAAGACGTCCATATATAAGCATGTATACTACGCTTTAAACTTATTATCTATAGATATTAAAATGCAAAGTTACACTGGAAAAAATGCATATATTTAAACGACTCTCGATTAATAATGCAGTTTTATGTTTGGCTCTTTGGGCTTCCTTCAAGCATATTTATGGAAAGTTTCGCCCCAAAATAGCCTAAATATATAAAAAACTAATGAAATGACCCTCGCAATATCAGCTATATATACATAAATATATATGTATATGCATGTCTCTAGATCTATTGAAGCGCATAGAATTTTTGTAGCATTAACATTGAGATGAGTTTTTTGGACTTGGAGTCAGAGTTGGAGGAGAATTGACGAGGAATGCGTGAAGGACGCGACGACAAGTAATTGCAATTTGTTATTTAAGAAGCTCTGGCTGGTTTCATTTTGTTTTTGTTTTTGTGTTCGTTTCGGTTTTTTTTTTTTTTTCTGTGTTTAATTTGTTCAGTTTTTTAAATGCCTTTTTAAATGCGTTGCTGATGATATGAAATGTTGCCAAATGTGACCCCAAGAGGCAGTCGCTTATTCATTTACACATTAGTTGAAATTTACATTTTTTTTTTATTTTTTTAAGTTTTACACACATGCGTGTGTGTGTTTGTAATTATGTACATTTGGTATGGCTGTTTCGTTTGTTTGTTTGCATTTTTTTGTTTTTTTTTTTTTTTTTTTTTTTTGGCAGCGGCTTTTGTCAAGCGACAACAAAAAGTGATTGGCAACATATTAATCAAGACCTTGCCAAGAGACGAAACCAAGACCAACACCAATACCAGCACAGGCACACACACATTCACACACACATATGCATAGATAAGCAGTAGAATCTAAAGAAGAAGAGATTTTAAGACATATATACATATATAAATCCCCAGCGATTGCAGACGAGCTGCAGCATCTGAAGCATTACGCAATGCCAACGAAAAATGATTGATGTCTGCAATTTGGCGCATCTGTGTAAAACGACAGCAGCAATTGTTGCTGCTGTTGGTGTTGTTGTTGTTGCTGTGACACAAAAGAATTAAGTGCCCAGGCACATTTTAAATTCGTCACGGAAAACGTGACAAAAATTTTCATATGCGAAAAATAGAAACAGAAACGAAAACGAAAATCGAATACATCTGAGCTGCATCTGAGTCTCTGATTGAGATTGAGATGATTGCAACATTTTTGACACACATTTCACACACACACACACACACACACACATACACATCAAGCATCTAGAATCTTTATGAACCACAAAAACGTATCTTTTATGAATGAGCTCGTTCAGCTGACTTGATTAACTCAGAGAACTTCGCGGCGATGAACAATGCAACATAAACAAGCCGCTGGCTAATTGCATAAGAGCAACAGCAACAACAACAACAACAACAACAATAGCAACAGCAACAACTACAGCTGCTACAACAATTGTTCATCATTCTAATCGTTGGCCATAAATCTGACAAATTATTTATATAACTGCGAGCAATGAAAGAAGGAGAAGCAACAACAACAACAACAACAAAAAGTAGGTGTGTGCGGAATTACAGATATGAATTAAGCAGCGAAGGGGCAGATGCGGATGTAACAAGATATTTGCTAACAGCTGCAACAACAACAAAACAGATTGGCTATAGAACTTGGCGGAGATGGTGGCGTGAGCAATGGCCAATAATAATTATATGTTTATAAATAAATATATTTGGAAAATTTTGGAAATCAATTGAAGCAACAAAAATAGAATGTAGAATGTGTAGAATGATGCAATAGACTGCATAATATTCATTTACAGTCGAAAAGTCGTAAATCCTTTTTTGGTCAATTTCAATAGAGAATCTGCGTCACTAAACTGCCAAATTCGGTTTACTACCCTGCTTTATTATGCTCACTTAAAAAATATAGATTAGAATTTTAGGTAGTACAAAGAGTTGCAGTCTCCAATAGGCTATATATTTCTTTTAAAAGCTCTCAACAAGCAGAAGCAATAATGAATATGTTCAGTCATGAACCTATATATATGTATATATTTATAAAGAAAATATTCCTATTAGATAAGAATGTTAAATAAAAGACACAACTGTAGTATTTCCACATACACATAGACATGTGTAGTACTCAACTTTATTCCTAATACAAACTTATATACATATACTTTTGCTTAATATATTGATATTAGTTTTTTCTCACGCTGCCATCACTACACATTATATATCATTCTATATACCCAGAAACCAACACACGGCCAGCTAGTGCTGTGCAGAGGGTGTTGAGTGAATTAAGTGAATTTGCAATAAATAAGAAAAAAAAAAACTAACTTTGCATAATTTGTCTGTGTTTTACATTCAGTATTTTACATCATCATCAGATGCCAATGGCAGCCAGGCAGGCAGGCGATTCGCAGTCGGCAGTCAGTCAGTGTGCCAGACACTGTCGTGGAGGAAGTTGCATATTTATGAGCTTTTTTCATACATATTATATATAAATAAATAAAATTGTTGTTTTTGTTTTTGTTCTGCTTCAGCTTCAGCTGTTGCCGCTGGCTGGGGCGTGTGCGCTGTCATGATTATGAAATCAATTGAACATATGTTTGGTCGCATGCTCTGGCCATAAATCAGAAATGCTTAGTCAGGCAAACACACACCAACACACACGCAGACACACACCTATACTTATTATGTACCACTTGATGAGAACAAAACAAAAGACTTAGGCAACGAACGCGCTGCTCGTGTGCTCCCAATTGCATTTTGTACGCTTTTTGCACTGCACTTTACAACACTGGCGACCAGCCGTGGCTTGTTTGTGTTTTAAGCGTAATTTAATTAAATTTGCGGAACTAGTTCTTTTCTGTTGAGTCAGTTTAATCAAAAATCTTAAGGAAAGGCAGCAGTAAAGAGAGGCAGGTGAGTGTTGCTAGATATAGTAGTAGAAGGAGTAGAACAATATTTAATAAAAGTAATAGAGTTCGATTTAGTAACAATAATAGTAGTCATGCTACAGTTAGATATGAATATAACAGTAGTAGTAGTAGGAGTGAGCATTTTAAGCTATTGATGATAGCAGTGAAAACTGTATTTGTAGTAATTTGAGTAGTAATATTTGTAGAAGAAATCACTTTAGTAATAGTAATAAATAAAACCTATTACTTTATATATACTACAAATAATATCAGTAAAGTAGTAGTACGCTAATACTTTATACTATATTATACAATATATTTTATACAATATTTATGGTAGCAGTATTATTTATAGTATGAGTATGAGTTAGCAAAAGTATGCAGTACGTAGTAGTAGATATAATTGTAGTTGCAAAAGTAGTAGATTAAATAGTATTTATAGTAGTACAGTGCATAGCAGCAGTAATAGTAGCAGTAGGGGTTTTAGCATAAGGAGTCTTATTAATAGAGGACCAAAGAAAAGTAAATGCAAGTGTACTAGACATTGCTTTACTTTTGCTCCTTTGACTATTTTTAATAGTAATTTGCATAGTAGATGAAGATTAATTACTAAACCACTTACAATGTTTTGCAAGAGTAGTGTAAACATAAATAGTCAGAGTGGAAATAGATGCAAAAGAGATTAATAGCAGTACTCGAACTTGTCAAACAAATTAAAGCAGATAAATTGAATACTCTTTAGCTCCACAAATAACTCCACTGAAATTGATCTTTTATTATTATTATTTTTTATTATTATTTCAAGTTCACTGTTCACAGGTAAATTTAAACCAAACGTTTACAGATATATTAAAATCAAATGTTTACAAAACATATTTAAATCAAGCAGTCCGTTGCCCTTAGGGCGATCACATTAATTAGATTTCTCAGATCAAATAAAACGAACATAAATAAACATAAAATATGGTTTGCCCAAAAATAAAAAATAAGTGGGTATTTTATTGATTGCTCAACTTGAGCCAATTCGAATCAAATTTATGCCTAAATTTCAAAGACTTTAATGGAACAAGTTTTGTTCTTGTTGTATTTTTTATAAGTTCATATCAATTTGAAGCGAATGCGACATTTTAGAGATTCTACTTTCAGAACAACTTTTGAGCTTGAGCTGTGGAGCTTCATTAATTTCCTAAGTAAGTTTTCTGCCAAGCTGCTAACTAATAGCCCACGAGCGCACACACACACACACACACACACACACACACACACAGACGAACACACATTTATGCATATATTTGACTTAATGTTTTGATGCTTCCCACACTTGAGATGCGTCTGTTGAGATGGAGACCAATGACCCGCTGTGTGACCCAGCAGCCTTGGCTGCCTAACCAAAAAACAAAAAAAAGAAAAAAAACAAAAATAAACTTTATAAAATGCTGAACAAATTAAGCAAACGGCAGGCGTTGCATGTGCAACAAGTCATGCAACAACAACAACAGCGGCAACGGCAACAGCATCAATAGCAACTGCAATAACTTGAATTTTGTTGCAACGCACATTTACCACACACACACACACATGCACACACATGCACACACATACACACTTCTACTCATATCGAAACGTACACATGCATATGTATCCCCTCTCTTCCTCACACTCTCTTTCGCTACATGCATCTACTCACATGCACACATACACAAGTACTTAGTACTCTCCCTCCCTCTGCACTCTATCTCACTCACTCGCACTCGCACACTCTGCCGCCACTCTCCTTGCCCCGCCCGCTCTCAGCTGTCTGGTCGCTGTGTAAAGTTCATGGGTCGCTGCCAGCTGTTTTTCAGTTTCTACACTTCGCTGCTCTCCACTTTTCGCGTTGCTGTTGTTGTTGTTGTTGTGGTTGCCACTGCGTTGCAGTTTTCGCTTAAGCTACTCAGGCGCTTCAGGGTTGCCAGCTTTTTTTGTTTTTATTGACTGCGTCAGTTCGGTTGGCTTGTTTTTTTTTTTGCGACCTCATCTGTCAACAGAATTAGAAGCGACAACAACAACAACTAAACCAACAACAGCAACAACAACCTGCCAGAGTTCAGTCGGGCATTTGGCCTACGGGATTTATGTACGCAGGCATCGAAGTCGAAGTAAAACACAACAAAAAATTGTTATTATTATTACATTTTTTGTTTCTGTTTTATGTTTGTTGAGTCTTTTCTTATTTTTCATCTGCTACAACAACAACAACTCGTCTGTCAACTTGTTGTACGCGGTCAAACAAGTGCACTTTAGAAATTGCTCATAAATCATAAAACTGAAACGAGCCAAGTTGTTTTTTTTTTCTTCACTTAATTTTTTTAAATGTAATGAAAAAAAAAAAACATTTTTCAATTTGAAGAAGTGCCAAGTACCTTGGCATTATAGTCATTGTCATTATCATTTATATGTGATTTTTATTATTATTAACATCGCCTTACACTGAAATCTTAAGATATGTAAGCCGATATACGCATCTTACACCTGTAGAAAATAATCTGAAATCATTTTTTAATTTTTAACTTAATGGAAAATTAGCATTACTATAGAGGAACCCAGAAAGAAAGAGACAGAAGAAGAAGGAGACAGGAAGGGGAGGGAAATATGGCAAAGAATGTGAAGGAAAAAGAGGATGGACAAGAAGAGGATGGTCAAGCAGGGTAATTACTTTATAACAGAAATATACGTTCACATCGTATAATATTCGTGTTGCTGTCCTATTAAACTTGAACTTGAACTTTATCTCGAAGTTTGAGTGTACTTCAGAGAATATTATATATTTTGACCCACAGTGAAGCTCGAAACTTCTTGAGATTACTATTAGAGTATTAAAGATGATAAACCATAAACAAGCACTGATTATAATTATATAGATGCATTTAAATCAATTAAGGAATGTATAAAATCGAAAGCAAATCTTTATATTCTATAGTTGTACAGTTAGACAGTTAGAGAACTGCCGAGTGAGCTACCGTTGCCTTTATTATTTCTACTTTGACTACTACACAAAAAAATATTTCCCCAGGTTGAGAATTTTTATTTTTTATTTTTATTTTTTTTTTTTAATTTTTTTTTTTTTTTTTTTGGCAATTTCTGTAATTTTGTCAGTTGAAGCCCTCCACAGATAGACCCATATTATATGATATGGTAGTTGTGAAAATGGTTAAAATTTAGTCAACAATTTTAGGAGCCTTAGCAACTATTATTAAGTTATTAGTCGGTTGCGCCTGATTGCACGGCTCTCAGTAGTTATTATTTCGCGTATGTAACAGACAGAAGTAGGCGTGGCAAAACCAATATGTATATAGACTCCTTGCCCATATAGACCACATATGTCACTCCAAATAGTTTCAATTTAATCTATATAATGACTATAAACAGATATACTGATCAGTGATCAATTAAATTATGATCTATTATCTATTTTATGAACAGCTAATTCACGCGATCAACAATGAACTATATAATACACTATGTATATCAATTAGTATCTAATGAAATATATATTTATACTTACTATAAAAGCAAGATCTTATGAAGTATAAGATTATATCTAGCATATCATCAAAATCAACTTTGGCGCTATCAAATAATTATAGTAATTAATTTGCGGATCTCTCTAGAATTTCGTTAAGTGCATTTATTGCGTTATCTGTGGAGCCTCTTATCTGGCTGATCTGGCAGCAGCTCAAGGCTAAAACCTAAGCGCTAAGACAATGAGGTTTCTTTTTAAGCCAAGCGAAAGGCTTCTAATTTGTTAAGAGGCTGCTTCATTATGGCCGAAATGGATATGGATATGGCTATATGGCTATACGGTTATGGTTATGGTTATGGTCAGTAATTAATGCATAGAGACTCGTGCCGACGTCGACGTTGACTGCGACGCCGACTGCGATAGCAACACAGATTGTTGCTATATTGCGATTATGACTTGGATAGCCGACTGCTGCTGCTGCTGCTCATCTTCACAGCTCTGATTGCTGCTCGTCGTTGTTGCTGTTGTTGATGATACCAGTTTGCCTCAACCTTGGAGCAGCGACGACAACAGCAGCAACAACAACAAATATATGTATTTTTCGTACCCAGTACCAGAGCTAGTACCGAAAGCGCCGTGAAGAGCACTTCTTGAGGCCCGTCCGGTTCGGTAGCAGCAGTGGATGCGGATGCGAAAAAAAGTGAATGTAAAGCTAAAAACTAAAAACTACAAGAGAAACAACAACAACAAGAAGACCACTTGATGACGTTGTCCGCTATCTGCTGTCCGCTGTCCGCCGTCCGCCGTCCGAGCGCGTGACAGAACAATAAACTAGCTTTATTTTTTGTTTTTGGCAAGGTGAGGGAGTGCGGGGTAGGTGTGGACAGGTGAGGAGCTGCATGTGACTGGCACCAACCAAAATATTTGAATTAGTTTCTTGAATAAACTAAGTTACAATTAAGAGATTTATATACATATTTACATATATCAATATATCATCTATCTCTAATGGATCTTCGCTCTTCACTTCTCAATGAAGACTTTGCCATTGAATGATGCAAATTTGGTTCACCTCAATTGCACGCTTAACTGATTAATGATATGTGCTTTGGCCAGCTCAATAATTCAGAGGGTGGTCAGAAAAATTGGCAGTTCTAGAAACATAATAAAAAATTTATATATAAGTATATATCACTTATAAATCACTCAATATTTAAATACATATATATTTTAGACTATATTAATAAAATATGTGTATTTAATATATGTATAATTAATATAATTTCTTAAAATACAAAGATACATTACAAAGTTTTTATGGAAATATATAACAAAAATGTGAACCGAAAAAAAATAAATATTCATATATATATGTACATACATTTTAAATTTTAAATTAAATTATATTTTATTTACATTTCAATTTAAATTTGCTTAAAAAA